CATGCAATTCTCGACCTACTCGAGGGTCTCTCTGAAGAGGGTATGCTTGAATTTTCATCAAGAATGTGGGTTAATCAAATTATCTACTGGGAAATGGGGAATAAGAATATAATTTTCTATTTATTTTATAAATTTTTTAGATCTTTTCTTTGCCAAGATATGTCTTAGGGTTTTACCAGAAAAACTAAGTTTAGTTACTTATATTTTTTACTTTTTGACCATTATGAAGATTTATAAACCTGTTCCTCCAACTTTGCATAACATTTATTTTATATTTTAACTATATTATATTTTTAAAATTTTTGTATTAATGAAAACAAGCTCCAGAATGATTGTAATATGATGTAAAAGTTCCTTTTTAAACAAAAAGTACCTCTTCATCAGGTTGTAGGGCATTCACAGTTCATTATATCAACCTTTTGAGTGTTCTCCCCCATTATTTCTCATTATTATTTCCTTCTCTAAATGAATTAAAATCGCCAAATGTGGGCGATCGGCGAAGGGCGTCAGCTTTGCGAAACAAAAACAGGAATAAAAAAAAAATGCGAATAACTCATTACGCGGCGCATTAAGGACAATGTCTGAGGGAGTAGGGGTTGGCTGGCAGGACCCCTGAGAGGGTTGATTTTTCAGCTTTAGACTGGGCATGACTTTGACTTCCTTTCCCGTTTTTATTTGTACTTTTTTACTCCTCTCTCCGGGGGCGTTTGGCTGCACAGGTTTACCTATTGTTGATGCCGTGATGTTGCTGCTATATTGAGTACGCCTCCGGCTATTGTGGTTGTTGTTGCTGCTGCTATTGGCATCGCCTAGTGCGTGCTCCGCTGGAATCACGCAAATTTCATTATTATTATTATATACTTTTTTAATGATTTGAGTGGCAAATGTATGGGGAATGAATGAAACGGAAGGACCACTGACCGGATTGCGAGTGGCATTGTTCCAAATTCTAGGGATTTGGAAGGGCAATGCAGGCTGTTATTTATAAAACCTAAATCTTAAGATATAAAAGAATATTTTAAAATTATAAAAGGTACAAATATCCTCCTTTCCCAATAAAAATATATAGAAAAATCTATAACTTGTTAAGCTAATTTAAACCAAAACTCCTTTCGATAAAAGCAACTTAAAGTTCCTGGTTCCTCCGAGGTAACCCTTTTGGACTCTCCATAATATATCAGTCGTTGTATTTCATGTGTAATCGTGTGTAATTTTTAAGAAAATTGCACGTTCTGTGGCTTACAAACACAAACACCCCCAGTAACAACCCCAAAAACAATGCAGCCCTCTCAAGAACTCAAAACAACGGCAAGTTGCGAAACTTTTTATGCACACGTGTGTGTATGCGTAAATAAATGTTGCATAAATAATTTCAACTCAATGACTTAATGCCGCTTTTGGCCAATGAAGCCGGCGCATTATTGATTATTTTATGACCAGGGTAAAAGTTGGCTGGAGGAGCACCGAAACCGACAAGAGGAGCAGGGCAGTGGCAACCTCCATTCACTTCCTCAAGAGTCCGAACCAGCACACACTACTCATACGTTTGTGTCGTTGGCTATTTAATATGCATTTTGCGCTAATTACAAATCAAAAGAAAAATTTAATAGCCCCGGAGTTGGCCATAAAAATGAAGTTGTCCATGGAGCCAGAGGGACGGGAGCGGCAAGGCACAAGAGGAATTGACGTCCGCTGCCCGGTTTCTAATCAAAAATTGCTTTGTGCCACATTTGGCTCCTAACTCTAAATGATGGCAAGTGTGCTACAATTTAGTTTGACTATTAATTACAACAAGTTGCTGCGGTGCAGCAGCAGGAGCAGCAGCAGCAGCAGTAGGGGCAGCAACATGTTCTACATGCCTGCAAAGCCATGCAAAATTATTGATGATTTTATTAATTTGAATATTGCCAACGAATTGCTGTCGAAGACAAAACGCTCGCCAAACGACCAGAGATGCTGCTCCAAACTCGATACCCCGACCAATGCTCGATCCGATCCGGAGGCAGAGGCGACTTTGAATGATAAATTTTTTGTTCGCTTAGAAAGTTGCATGGAAATTGCAATTTATAGCTTGGCAGCAGCAGCAGCAGCAGCAGCAGCAGCGGCAGCAACATGTTGCAAGGGGGCACCGCAAGAAAATGAGTATAATTAGACCGGTTTGTAATGCGTTTGCGAGTCGATATGGGATGGGAGTACAGCATGGGTATATGGTATAGTGTGTCTCATGTTGCGGATGATGGCATGTTGCTGGCGTGCTTTGGAAATGAAGTGAGCTTGATTTGAATTATAGTTGCCAGGCCGGCGATAATTAATCGTGCTATTTAGTGTGCTACATGAAATTCTACTAGTTTGCCTAGTTATTGATTAGATTTCGTGGCGACCGGCGATCGCAGGAAGCGACAAAATGTTGCCGTTGTTGCATGTTGCTGTTGGAGTTGCTGTTGCTGCTGCTGCTACCTCCGTGTGTAATTTGGCCAGACTTTAATATGCGCAAATTGTACTTAATTTGGCTGCACATTTTGTCGCTACAATTTGCTTTCACAACATGTTGCCAAACAGCAGCAGCACCAGGGCCCAGGCTAGCAACTAGCCATGAGCCATGAGCTATGAGCCACGAGCAACTTGCAGCTCTCCCTTGGATTCCACCAATACTCACCTCACCGATACAACTCCACACCTCCTGCCACCACTATGCAGGCTTTTGGCATTTGCTGTTGACGCATACTCGAAATTATTTTGTAGGAGAGCTATGTGTGTGTGTATAGTCGCTTCTGATATTATGCATTGTTTTTGCTTCTTATGGCGCCGAGTGGGGCGTAGACAGGGCAAGATGGCCAGACATTTGCATGCAACGTACGAAATTAATTATTACGCCCTCTCACAGCCCGCTTCCTGGCCAAAATCTACAAACACGAAGCTTGGCTCGGGCTCAGAGACTCGGACTCAGGCATTGGCATTGCATGTCCTGCACACTCCAACTTTCAAGGCACAATCCTGGCATTCTTACCCTCACTCCTATAGCATTTTCCCCCTTCTGCTCTTGCGGCTCATTACGGCGTTGGCCATGTGGCCGGAAAAGTGCGTTCGTTGACTGCTGCCGGCTGGCCAGCGTCGACACAAACAACAGGCACTCGGGAAAATATTTTAATAAGGATATTGAAGGGTTTTTAAAAAGATAAGGAGAATAAAAAACACAAATTACAAGGTTTACTTTTAAATAAAATAAAAAACTAGCAAGGTTATAAGTTTAATCTTTTTTATAAAAAAATCTCAGCTAATTTTAAATTCCCTTAAATTCTTCTCAGTGCATTGGTAACAGCAAACTGAGGGTCCGAATCCGAGAGCGCTGCAGAAGTTCGAGTCTGACTGCGACTCGAGTTCCGAGTCCTGAGTTCCGAGTGCAGTTGCTTGCAGTATTACAACTGCAGGCAGAGGTCCTTTCAAGGGATAAGGCGGGGATGCCTGTGGGTGGGCGGGGTGCCAGGGTGTGTGCAAGGGACAGGAGCCAGCTGTATGCATTATGCATTAAAATCAACGCCCGTTTTGTGTAGACCTGCAGACAATGCAACGAAGGCAGGACCCCTTCTACCTCTCTCTCTCTCTCTCGCCATCCTTTCATTTTTTGGGGCCAAATGTCAAGGCGGCATAGGCATTGATGTTTCCTTTGTGGACTGCAGTTAGGTAAGCTCTTTAGTCCAAATTGTTGCCCAAATTAAGGCGCCTTTGGGCTTTGGATTTGAAGTTCCACTCGGAGAGTTTAGTGGAATCTATTTCGAAAGAGAGAAGATTACCAAGAGTCCTTCGTCCTGCCTAAGCCTTATGAGATTTCTACTTCTTATTATCTTTATCTCCCACTCAGATAACTTTTGAAAACATTTTCGTACATTTTCGTACATTTTCCCTCTTTTACCCATCGTATTTTTCCTTCTTATTGTATGCAGGAAAAACTTTCTTGCCAGACACGTTCGCCACATTCCCCCCTGTCTCCTCCTCCCTTTTGGACTTTTTGGTCAGTTGTCCCTCTTCGGGCATAAATTATAATGCAGAGTAGGTGTAAAATTTTCGATTACGACTGTTCAGACCGCCCAATTGCACCGAACTCCTTCCCTTCAGGCAGCTGGCATCGTTTCTGTATAGAGAAACCACCCGTATGCTTCGGTTTTGGTGTCCATCATTCCGATTAAGACACAGAGAGAAATTATTAATATATTCAGCTCATTAAGGGTGTATTTAAAGCTTACAATATAAGTAGTAAAAGCTGAGAAAATATCATAAAAAATATATGAACATGAAATTTTAATCCTTTCAATTAGAGGTTGCTTCTTCTCTACCAACTAAATATATATAAAATATTCTTTCTGTGTAATTTTCTCCTCACAATTCCGGCGGTAAAGTCGTTCGTTGTCCTGCACAGAACGTCGTGGCTTGGCAAGGACATGGCCTCAGAATCGTACTACGACTCCGAGTCGGCTACACATTTTGCATTTGCGAAATTATGCGGCATGTGTGTGTGTGTGTAAGGGGGTATCCTGTCGACCCTTTCCCTTTTCTCCATGTGTTGTTTGTGTGCCCTGTTGCCGTGGTCAACCGACGGGCAACAGGGATAATTAATGAAATTAATGCTCACGGGTATGGGTTTTAAGTGCACGAAATATTTTCGATAAACGTAAATTCTAAATTATGATGCCCCCCGAGCGGTCAGCGATATGTGTATATAGAAGGGGGAGTGCAGCCAGACGACATTTGATATTATTAAGGGGGAAGATGGAGCTGTGTGTGGCCTTGATATCTGGTAATTGCAACGTTTGCATATTTGAATGTACTTGTTAGAGGATGAAGAGCTAATGGAAAATGCCAGAAAATGACTTATTACTTATTATATGAATCTAAAATGTTGATAATTTATTTATATATATTTTATTTACAAATGAAAATCTCCCAAGCCTTAATATTTAATGCCCTCCAAACGTACTTAAGTTTCCCCTTTGTGTCTCTTCCAGGACTCAGCCAGGATGCGAGCGGGTCAGTGACACGTGACATGGCCGAGGGCTGCGAGGACTCTGCCGGTGCCGCTGAATCCACCACGTCACAGTCACAGTCACAGTCGCCGTACACAACGCTCGACAAGATGCTGGGCACCGTGCTACCATGCGAGGCGGCCATAGGTGCCACGCCCGGCGGCGGCGGCGGCGGCGGTGGAGGCGGTGGCAGCAGTAGCAGCAACACCAGCAACATCAGCAACACGAGCCACAGCAGCGGCGGCAGCAACAACAATAATAGCGGCAACAGCAACATTGTGAAGCGCGAGTTTTGCGATGGCAGCTTGATGCCCAGCTCGGCGGCCAGTGTTAACAATAATAATGCCAATGCCACCAACAATAACAACAATAATAATAACAATAGCAGCAACAACAACAATACCAAATTGCAGGCGATGATCTGCAACAAGAGCAACAATAGCAGCAACACAAACAACAGCAGCAGCTCATCCTCTTCATCATCATCCTGCTCCTCATCCTCGTCATCCTCCAGCTCAGCGACCAGCACTTTGACCAGCTGCACCACCGCCGCCGTTGTGCCCTCCAATTGCTCCACAAATGCCAACAAATCACCGCCAGGATCGGTATCACCCTACTCCCAAAGCTTGGGCATGGGTATGGGAATGGGCCTGGTCCTGGGCATTGGTGCAGGAGCCGGTAGCAGTCCACTGAGAGAGGCTAGCCCAAGTCCAAGTCCACTGAATGCGGCATCCATGTCCAGCGTTGTGGCAGCCAAGTCGCCATGCAGCGGAGCAGCGCCTGCATCGCCGCCATCAGCCTCCTCGAACAGCTCGTCAAATGTCCTGGCGCTCAACATTAAAACCGAGTCGGTGAGTCGAGAAGAAATTCTGAATTTATGTTTTACCCATAATAAGACTGAGCAACGGATGGGTTTAGAGGTTTAATGGGAGATATATTATTTAATATTTTGGGATTTCAGAATAGGGAATTACAACCTTGTTTTAAATTGATTATGGAGGAAGAACTCCTAGACCCTCATTCTAGAAGATTAGCGATAATTTCCTTATGATTGGGTTGCTAGGAACTCTAGTTCAAGCTATTTCTTCTCTTTTTTAATAAACAATATATCTCTAAATTGGAAATACCTCTCCCCTCGTGACTCACGTGCTTACCTCACATCGCTAAATTGATTTCTGGCTCGCATTTAATTAGCATGCAAAGTCCATGAGACAGACGACGGACAACGGATCATTAATTAGTCGCCGCTTCGGAGCAGCCAAATCAGTTCGATCGGCCGGCGGGCAGCAGCAGCAGCAGCAGAATGTTGCAACCTGGCCAATCAAGGGCAAATCCAAGCAAATCCGCCACAGAATCGCGCTGAACTGCCGCAGGCTCTGTCTTTCCGTCGCAGTCGTGCTCTAGAATCGCCAAACAACGGACCCCGTAAAGAACTAAAAAACCAAACACAACTGCGAGCGCGGTCAAAATATTTTTGTCCCAATTTTAATGACCATAAAAACCGATCGCAAGAAGGGGGAAACAAAAAAAAAAAAAAAAACTTTTGTGCAATTGTCAGCAATAAATAAAAATTTCGCATGTCCTCGTTGGTTTGGTTTTTGGGGTCTTTTGTGGCCTTTTTTTTGTTTGTTGCCTTGTGGCACATAGTTTAGCGGCGAATCAGCCGAAAGAACAACAAACGATCTGCTGATCGCTGCGAGTTCTATTTTCAAGTTTATTTTGAACTAATTCTCTGGGGGCGATTGTTGTCGTTGCTCGTAAAAATGACTAAATTATGAGATCGGAAAAAAGGGATCTACATTGGAGAGACCAAGAAGTGTGTCAGGCCAAGGAAAACAAACAACAAAATTGGCGGGATACGGACACCAGTAAAGTGTTTATGAAGTAAAAGCAAGTTTTTATGGTTTCTTAAATGTATAAATTACTATTTTTATACACATTGCCATATAAATTTTAGCTATATTTTTAATGTACCACATTTAATTGATAAACTAAATTTTATTACCCAAAAAGGAGTTAAAAAACAGCTTTATTTAATATTTAATTCATTAGTTGAAGCGATAAAATGTTCAAAAATATTCTTCTAGAAAAGCCTTTGCCTTAAAAAATATAATTCTTTACAATTTAACCATTAAAATTCCCAATTAAATTCGCACATTTACCAATGACTGACCTAATTCTAATGGCAAATCAATTCGCTGCCAAGTCTCGAGTATCTCTTCGACCGCATTTGTGTGGCGTTTGGGCCGCTTTGTCTCTGTCTGGGCCCCCAGTATCCGACGGATACGATCCGCTCTAATGACACAATCAGCTCACACGATACAAACACGCACACTGGGATCCGAGCCGAGTCTGGAGATACTCACCTCCGCCTCCTTCACTAACAAAATGCTGTAAAAAGCAATTAATAAAAAAATAAAGCAATCAAAATATAAATAAAAATAACAAAAAAATATTTGAAAAAATAGAAAAAGTGCATAAAATTTATGTGCAGGCAGTCAAATGAGTAATCGACTGCGACGGGGAGACAAGCGGCAACAAAGCCGTAACATTTATTGAAAATTAAGCAAAAAGTTAAGAAAAAAGCACAAGCTCAAAAGGCAGCAATAATAATAAGCGCGAAATAATCAGCACACACACACACACACGGGCAGCGATTGAGGAAAAATATATGTGTGTACATGCGAAATAAATTGTCTATTGGCAGCGCCAAACAAGAAAATCCAGGTGCAATAAAAATCGAATTAGAGGCCAGAGGAAAAAATAAAGTTATAAGTACAAACTATTGAAAATTAATGTGTTAAACGGAATCAAATGAAATCGGTAAATACACTAACTGTTGGGTGTACAAAGGATGTTAAAAGAGGTGAAATCATAGAGGTATAAATATACTTTTTATGATAAATAGAAATATCTATTGTTTAGTAAAAGGACACTTACAAAATAAAGTGAAATCCTATTTTAATTATTTATTTATCCAAAAAATGTGTGTTTAAAAATCTTTAAAAAATAGAAACCATTTTAGAAATAGCATAATATTGTCTAAACCATATCATCTTGTACATAAAACGTCTTAAAACCTCTGAAATACCCTTACCAAAGGTGGCACCTGGTTTTAACTTGTCTTGAGATATATTACACCTAATTATTAGAGCCTGATCGGCACGGACCCCATTGAGCACGCAGCTGTACCTAGTTTTTCCATATATTTTTCCTATTTCTTTATTTCGGGCCAAGGCGGCAGCACTTGAAAGCCTGCTGGCCAACCCGCTGGGTGACTCATAGGCGTCTAATGAGCCACCGCAGTCCGCGGGCCAGGCCAAGCCTTTGGCCTTTTGGTCAGTCTCCGGCTGGTGAAAGTCGAGCACGGATGCGGAGTGTGGCTGCTCTATGAGCTACGCTAATTATAAGCGTATCACAAATTGCACTCCTTCTGGCCGGCAGAGCACGCCGCGCATGCGCAATGAACTGGTGGTCATCAGGAGAGCGGGTTCTACGTGCGTGCCAAGCGGATTTGTGGGTGTTTTCTTTTCTTTTCTTTATTATTATTTTATTTGTTTTTTTTTTTTGTGTTCTGTTCTCCTCTCGCAGCAGTGTCATCGCAATGATGATGATGTTTATAAGCCATGATGAGGTTGTGGGCAACCGGTTTCTGCATTTTACTTTAAATGTTGCAAATACTTGAGCGGGATAATCCAGGCTGGCTCGAAAAGCCTGGCCTGGTTCTTGCTCCAATGTTCTTGGCCCTGGTTATCGTACCCGTACTCCCTGCTGTGTTGCATGTAAATCGTTTGTAATTAGTTGAGAGTCTTGACGCGTAAATGCAACACAGCAATACAGCAACATGGTAAAGAGGTAGGAAGGCTGGCAAAAAAAAACATTAAAGAGGAGCAGGCAATAATTGCTTATTAAATGAATGTTTTGTGCAAAAATTTTTATGACTAACCACGTGAGCGCTAAATTGACTGCAAATGAGCCAAAGATGGCCCATTGTCGGCACCGAAGGAAGACAGGAGGCGGTGGTAATTTAAATGGTAGATGCATTGATAAATGACCGGGTCTTTTAGCAGGCCTGAAATATAGTCCCCTTTAGGTGGTAGGTTTTAGATTCGTGGCAGAAACACATTATAGTTCTTACCAAGGCAGGGAAAATTTACAGAAATTACAGGATTTTGCCACAAAACTGTCTTAAAACTGTCTCTCTCTGCATAAACTTTTTCCTATACCCAAAACATCGCCAAGACAAGACCCAAATTCCTTGACAGACATATTTTTTCTTTACTCAGTTTTCGTTGATATTAATTTAAAATTAATTGCAAATAAATTACAAAGCAATTTGTGTGTCGAGCTTGTTGACTGCCGTCCCCGTTCTCGGTCTCTCCCCCAGTCCAAGCCAGCTGCATGCAACATTGAAATTGTCAGAGAGTTTAAGTATAAATTAATTATATTGCAAGTATAAGTTCAACTTATGCACGTCCACGTAATGCCAATAATCATCAGGCGACATGGCAGCAGCAGCGGCGGCGGCAACAGCCGTGTAATAAGTATCTGGCAAGTTGATTTTGACGTTGTCTGGCTTTAACTACCCTGCCTCGGTTATACTTGCCTTAATTTCATTTCATTTACGCAAAACCGAGAGAAAAAAAACTCTTGCCAACTGGCAAATTGCCTTCATCTTAATTATGGTGGTATTAAAAAATTATTAACAATGTTGCTGACGTTTTGCCGACAACGACAACGGCTTGGATGAAGTGTTATGGTTGGTTTGCAAGTAGTATCATAAATAATTAGGTGATTTCCATGGCATGATAATGGTTTTATAGGAAAATATTGTAATGGCTTAAATATCTATTAATTTATTATAGAATTAGATTTATATTTATTTTAAATAATTATACTAAGAGCTTTTACCCTCCTTCACATGTTCTTTTGTATTTTAAACTTTTTTAAAATATTAAAGATTGTTTCCTTAATTTTTTTTCAAATTCTTACACTGCAAATCTTCTAGTGACTCATTAATCTTTCTATCTACAAGATCCTCTTGCATATGATTCAGCTTGCAACACCTCTTTAGACTCCCATTTTGACCTTTCCTTAGTCATATGCCAGATGGCCCACCACAAAGTGTTCCCAATTCTAGCTTGACCCCAAAACAAAGCACCCAACGATCGAGGCTATCCAAAAAGGATAAAGGTAAAGGGGGTCTACACTGGGGTTAATAATTAGCGAAACGCGATTTGGTCCAACTGGCCGCCATGGGAGAAAATATTAATGCCATGCCCACTGGCCATATGAGCGGGAAGCTGGAGTCGGAGTTTGGCATTAAAATAAATTTAATATAGCCGCCACGGCCTGAGCCGGTTGGCCCAAAGCTGAGCCTGAACTTGGCTCTGAGTCGCTCTCTCATAATTTGCGAAGGGGGAGTGGAGGTTGAGAGGGGACCAAGCGAAACGAGACGAGGCTGCAGAGGCTGAGGCTGCCGATCCACAAAGCCAACTCGAAACTGAGACACTCCACAGACGCTGTGTGGCTGCCTCCAGTTGGCTTCAATTAAACCCAAGTGTGTGTGTGTGTGTGTGCAATAGTTAAAGCCAAAAATAGCATTTAAACTCATTAATTTAACGCGTGATTATGACCATGTTTGTAAGAGTACAACTCCGACTGCACTCGGAGTTCGTGGCTTGGACTGGCCTGCTGGAAGTCTCGGGTTTGGAGTATGAAAAACGTTGCCAAAAGGCATAATATTTGTTGCCTGTGTTATTGTTAACGCTCTGTGTTGTTGTTGTTGTTGTTGTTGCTGTTGGTTTTGGCATTTATTTTGCGCTTCTTTTGCGGCATAAATGCTCAAAAC